ATTTATAATTATATATTTATACGTATATATATTTATATATTTATATATTTATATTTATATTTATTTATATATACGTAGGTAAAACTATTATATAATTTATATTATATAATTATATATATTATATATACGTATATACATATACAATACATATATATACGTATACGTATACGTATATGTATATGTATATTATTCTATAAAGGGAACAATAAGTTGCTTCCTTTTATAAAATAAATTTAATTAATTAATTAATTAATTAATTAATAATATAATAGAAAAGGAAAGAAATTTAAATAACAATAAACAGCTGCAGCAGCAGCAGCAACTGCAACTGCAACTGCAGCAGCAGGAGCAGCAGCAACCTGTTCGCTCTCTTGTTGGAGTGTACAGGCAGATACTGCAGCAGCAAAAGAAGAAAAAAGAATTTTATTTTATTTTATAATAATAAATAAAATAAAAGAATAAAATAAAGAAAAGAAACACAAAAATGCACAGAAACTGCAGCAGCAGCAGCAGCAGCAGCAGCAGCAGCAACAACAGACCAGCCGCTGCAGCAGCAGCAGCAGCAGCAGTAGCAGCAAAAGCAGCAACAGTATCAGCAACACGAGCTGCCTATACACCGCAATTTTTTATTGTTAAATTATTTAATTTCTTTTTATTTATTTATTTTATTTATTATTTATTTATTTTTATTTATATAAATATCTTCTGCCCCCTCCTTTCTCCTTATATTATAGGAGAAGGGGGGCCCCCTCTGCTGCTGCTGCTGCTGCTGCTGCTGCTGCTGCTGCTGCTGCTTCTTCAGGTGTAGTACACACACAGCAGCAGCAAATAGTAAATATAAATATAAATAAATATAAATAAATATAAATAAATATAAATAAATATATATTTATTCTTTTGTTATTTTTATTCATTTTTTTTATTTATTTATTACTTTTTTAGTACTACTAAACCCTAAACCCTAAACCCTAAACCCTAGAAGGTAAACCCTAGAGATTAATTAAATAAGTTAATCAATATTGTACCCTAAAGGTTTAAGGCGTACACCCTAAACCCTAAACCCTAAACCCTAAACCCTAATTATATCTCTATAGACAGCAAAGAAAAAAAAACATACAAAGATAAACCCTTGAGGGTTTAGGGTTTAGGGTTTAGGGATAACTACGGCGGTCCCTTGGGGCCCCTAAGAAAAGAAATGCTTGGGGCCCCTTGGGGGGGGGAAGAGGGTACTAAAAGAAGGGGCCCCTCCACCAAGAAATAAAAGAGGGTACAAAGGGTACACTAGAAGAAGGGGGGCCCCCTAGGGGGGCCCCCTAAGGGTCTTTTTTTATGACCATATCTAACAAATTCTTCTTCTTCTTCTTTATATGCACGCAGTGCTGCCTCTACTCTACGACGCTCAGACACCTGAGATCTGCAGCAGCAGCAGCAGCGGCAGCAGCAACAGCAGCAGAAGCAGCAGCAGCAATGGGAAGGACGGTAAGGGGAAACACGCAGTGGTAGTAGCAGCAGCAACTGCTGCTGCTGCTGAAGCAGCAGCAGCAAGAGTGAAACAATTACGTGAATTGCTGCTACTGTTGCTGCTGCTGCAGCTGGTGTTGCTGCTGCAGCTGCAGCTGTTTTTGCTGCTGCTGCTGCTGCTGCAGGGGTTATGTTTTTGCTGCTGCTAATAAACGTACCTGAAGTAGGAGATGAGTCTCCAAGCAGCAGCAAGAGCAGCAGCAGCAGCAGCAAGTTGCAAGCCAAGTCTCTGCTCTGCCCTTAGCTGCTGAGCAGCACTTCCTCCTTTTGCTGCCGCTGCTGCTGTTGCTGCTGCTGCTGCTGTCTTCTCGGTAGATGTCTTTGGGGCCCCCCACCAACCTATTGCTGCCGCGGGGGCCCCACACCCTTGTGGCAGCAGCGCAGCAAGAGGGGGCCCTTGAGAGGGGGCCCCTAAGTTCCCAGGACCTGCTGCTACTGCTGCTGCAGGAACTGCAGCAGCAGCAGCAACAGCAGCAGCAGCAGCTGCTGCTGCTGCTGCTTCATCCCCAGCTTTGTCTTGATTGCGTACTTTGCGCCTCCATTTAAAAATGGCCGCAGCAGCAGCAGCAGTTGCTGCTGCTGCTGCAGCAGCAGCAGCAACTGGATTTGCTGCTGCACAGTGCAGCAAGTGTGGGGCCCCAGCAGCAGCCTTAGTAAGGAGACACCCAAGAGAGCGCAGCAGCAGCAAGGAGACACTTAATGTTATTTGCTGCTGCAGTTTAGAGACAAATTGATGAGAGAAAAAGGAGACACTTTCTCCTATACGTCTACCCATAGATAGCCAACGCGACGCATGCTGCTGCTGCTGCTGCTGCTGCTGTTGCTGCTGCTGCTGGTGTTGCTGTTGCTGCAGCAGTGTAGCTTGCTGAGAGGGGGAAAGAGCACCCATGGACAAGTCTGCTGCTGTTCCTGCTGATTGTGCTGCACCTGCTGCTGCTGCTGCAGCAGCAGCAGGGAGAATTACAGGCGCCGGCCCTGCCCATGCTACAACAGGTGGTATTGCAGCAGCAGGAACTCCTGCTGCTGCTCTTGCTGCAGCAGCAGCAGCAGCAGCTGCTGCTGCTGCTGCTGCTGCTGCTGCATCTACGCTGCAGCTACGAGCAGCTGCGGATAAAAAAGGACTAAAGGAAGAAGCATAAGGAGTCCTATAAGAATACCTTAAATTGCTGCTGCTGCTGCTGCTGCTGCAGCTGTTGCTGCTGCTGCAGTAGCAGCTGCTGCTGCGCAGGCAGTAAGATGTTTGTGGCTGTCGAAGAAGAAAGGCTGCTGCTACTGGCAGGTTTGCTGCTGTTGTTGCTGCTGAAGGTGCTGTTGCTGCTGCTGTTGCTGCTGCTGCACTCTGGCGGTAGTGCAGCTGCCGCTGCTGCTTCAGCTGCAGCGGATGAGCTGTGCAGCAGCAGCAGGAACCCAGAAGCAGCAGCAGCAGAAGGGGAAGCAAGAGATGCAGCGTTGCACGAGCTGCTGCTGCTGTTGCAGCAGCAGCTGCAGCAGTTGCTGCCCTCTGCATCTGCAGACTGCTGAGGTGGGGGCCCCAGGGGCCCCTAAGTCACCAAGTTGTGTGCAGCAGCAGAAGCAGCAAGAGCAGCAGCAGCAAGATATTATATATTTATAAAATTAAATATTAAATATAAAGGGACAGACAGGGGCCCCTCAGGGCACAACATATGCCACAGTTGTGGGGCCCCTTGGGGGCCCCCCAGGGGGCCCCTCCTCGGGGCGGGGGGGCCCTTCTGCAGCAAGCCAACCGCGCAGCAGCAGCAGCAGGGAGGTCCATTGCTGCTTTTATTATAATAATAAATAATAATTATATTTTCCTGCATGCAGAAGATCTCCTGTCTCCTTCTTGCTGCAGGGGGGGCCCCCCAAGGTAAGGAAGTGTCTCCGTCACTAGAGAGCTGCTGCTGTCTCCTTTTGTATCCTTCTGTCTCCTTTTGTCTTTGAGCCAGCAGTATCTGCTGCTGCTGCTGCTGTTGCTGCTCCATGCATGCAGCAGCTAACACAGAAGGAGACAGCAGCAACACGGGAGACACAGGAAAGGGGGCCCCCCAGGGGCCTTGCGGTGTCCGTACACCTCAGTAGCAGCAGCCAAAGCAGCAGCAAATGTTAGCAGCAACAACAGCAGTCTCATTGCTGCTGCAGAGGCTGCATGCTCCAGCAGCAACAGCAGCAGCAACAGCAGCAGCAACAGCAGCAGCGACTGCAGCAGCAGCAGCACCAGCAACGACAGCAGCAGCAGCAGCAAGAACGCCACGCCAATTCGAGGTCAATGTAAGGAGAGGGATAACCACAGTAGCATCCGCAACAAATAGTTCTACAGCGGCAGCAGCAGCAGCAGCAAATGCAGCAGCAGCAGCAGCAGCAGCAGCAGCAAATAGAGCAGCAGCAGCAGCTCCCCCTTTGTACCAGGAGCTCATGTGGGGCCCTTACTGGGGGCCCCTCAGCAGCAGGAGTCAAAGTGTGTTACTTTGCAAGGATTGTGGGGTTGTAAGCACACAGCAGCAGCAGCAGCAACGACTGCAGCAGCAGCAGTTGTTGCAGCAGCAGCAGCAGCAGCCGGGGTGGTGGCATGAGTCTCAGCTCCTCTATGAGAGCACTTTGCTGCAGCAGCAGCAGCAGATGCAGCAGCAGCAGCAGCCCCACCAATCCCTTCCCCATCAGTCATTACACCAGCAGCAGCACGAGCAGCAAATGCAGCAACAGCAGCAACAGCAGCAGCAGCAGCAGGAAGGTTTGCTGCTACGTAGAGACAGAGGAGGAAAAATAAAGACTAAATTAAGAAGAGCAGAAAGAAAAAGAAGAAAGGCAGAGGCAATAAAAAAAAGAATTGAACCCCTAAACCCTTTCCAACAATTCAATATAACTGAGGGGCCCCCTGGGGGCCCCCCTGGGGGCCCCCCTGGGGGGCCCCAAGGGACCCCAGTTGTAGGGGGGATACAAGGAGGGACCCCTGTTGCAGGGGGGCCCCAAGGGGGACCAGGGGGGCCCCTACATACGGGGGATGTTGCTTTTGTCCCCTTAAGGAAGAAATGAATTTTTTAAGAACTCTAAACCCTAAACCCTAAACCCTAAACCCTAAACCCTAAACCCTAAGGGTTTATAAAGGAGATAGATAGAGACAAATACAACAGGAAAGAGGCATAAATAACAGCACTAAATAACCCTAGTAAACCCTAGTAAACCCTAAACCCTAGTAATCACAGTAGTCTTAGGTTGGTGTTTTGAGGGAATCGGTGGTTTAGGGTTTAGGGTTTAGGGTTTAGGGTTTATAGAGGATCTGCTTGTGTCTCTCCTTGTCTACAGACAACAAAAGTAAATAAATAAATAAATAAAATAAATAAATTAAATAAATAAATAAATAAATTAAATAAATAAATAAATAAATTAAATAAATAAATAAACTAAGGACATACTATTTATCCTCCTGTCTCCTATAAGAGGAGACACTAATAAGGAGGAGACACTAATAAGAAGGAGACACATTATACAACAATAAGAGACCTTAGGGCCCCTACAAGGTCATCAGGTAGCTGACTATACACCTCAAGGCCCTTCATATCTAGGGGGCCCCCATGGGGCCCCCTTCCCTTTCCTCCGGGGCCCCCAGGGGCCTCCTCAACCTCTCCCTGGTGGGGGCCCCATTGGGGGGCCCCTTGGGGGTCTTTAACTGTACCCAGATAACAACAATGAAGGAATAGACGGGGACACCAAGAGGCGTCACTTACGTAAGCAGAAGGATCTGCAGCAGCAGCAGCAACAGCAGCAACAGCAGCAGCAACAGCAGCAACAGCAGCAGCAACAGCAGCAGAAGGGGAAGCAATAAGAATTGTTTTAATGGGGAGGGCGATGTCCTGCTGTTGCTGCTGCTGCTGCTGCAACGAACAACAGCACCTCCTGCTACCGCTCTTGCTGCTGCTGCTACAGCTCTTGCTGCTGCTCCTGCTGCTGCTGTTGCTGCTGCTGCTGCTGCCTACCTGTAATATATTTATAATCAGCAACAATAGGATGTCCAATAGCAGCAAGATGTATTCTTAATTGATGTGTCCTTCCTGTTAGTAATTTAGCTAAAAGGAGACAATAATCACGACCTAAGGACACATATATATACACAATACTTGCTGCTGCTGCTGCTGCTGCTGCTGCTGCTGCTGCTGCTGCTCTTGAGGGTTTTACCTTCGCGTTGGAAGTTTAAGAGGGGACGGAAGAGAGTTGTTGATGGCTGCAGCAACAGAAAGGAGACACATAACCTGCTGCAGCAGCAAATGCAGCAGCAGCAGCAGCAACAACAACAACAGCAGCAGCAAACCTCGCAACAGCAGAAGCAGCATCGACAGCACTAAGAGGAACAGAAGCAGTAGCAACAGCAACACCAGCAACAGCAGCAGCAGCAGCAGCAGGAGATACCTTTCCTTGGGTACTGCAGGTACTGAATATAAGGTTATGAGGGGGGCCCCCCTTAAGTGTCTCTATAGGCCCACTAATACAAAAAGAGCCACCGGGGCCCTGCAGCAGTTGGAGGCCCCCCTCTTGCTGCTGCTGCTGCTGCTGTTGCTGCTGCTGCTGCTGCTGCATGCATCCGTGTACAAGACACAAATAGAATTTATTTAGTTTATGTGCCTCGAAGTGCATGCGCGCTAAATAAAAACCCTTAATACTCTTAGCAACAAGAAGGGGACCTGCAACAAATAAACAAATACAAGGGGCCCCCCAAGGGGCCCCCAAGGGGCCCCCCATAAGGGTACACAAAAGAAGATTGAGTGCGGATCCATAGGTGGGGGCCCCCATGAGGGGCCCCGAGGAGCGCATCCAAGGAGGGCATCTAGAAGGGACCCTAGGAGGGACCAAAGATTAGGGTTTAGGGTTTAGGGTTTAGGGTTTACCGCTTGTCTCCACGTCTAGTCTATGGGTACAGCCACAGGCAACAAAAGGGTCCGACAGAACATTGAGGAATTCTTGGGTGTAGGGAGGGGGCCCCACATAGGGGCCCTTCTTGGGGCCCCTGTTGGGGGCCCCCACGGAAGTGGACTTGACGGACAGGGGGTCCCCCCTCTGGGGTCCTTCTTGGAGGCCCTGCTGGGGTCCCTGCTCCACAGGGGGCTCGCTATGAAGGGCCTCCTTCGCGGCCCCCAGGGGGGCCCCCATGGGGGCCCTCGGCAGCAGGGGGTGGGCCCCTTCTTGTAGTTTAGCCTTAAGGAATAGATGTAAGGGTTCAGGTCTGCCGCTATTAAGTAATGCTTGGCTAGAAAGGAGACAGGTGTCTCCTTCTTTGCTATAAGGAGACAAAGGAGACACTTGGGGGGGCCCTGGGGGCCCCCAAGATGCCCAAGGAGGTGTATAGATGGAGGAGGGGGCCCCAGGGGCCTCCGATGCCCCCGGGAGGGTTTGCTGAGTGTTTGCTAACCAATAAGGGGGTTTATATACAACCTAAAAAGAAAAGGAGACACAAAAGGAGACACAAAAGGAGACATAAAAGGAGAGACAAAACAGCAGCAGCAGCAGCAACAGCAGCAGGAGCAGCAGCAGCAACAGCAGCAGCAGCAGCAGCAGCAGCAGCTTACTAAGAAGTCTGTAGTCTCTAATAGTGTCATAGGATGTTGTTTAAGGAGACTGTCTCTAAATTGTCCCCTTTTATTATATTCCTCTTGCTGCTGCTGCTGTTGCTGTTGCTGCTGCTGTTGTTGCTGTTGCTGTTGTTGCTGTTGCTGTTGTTGCTGTTGTTTGTGCTGTTGCTGTTGTTGTTGTTGCCGCTTCTTTTGCTGCTGCAGTAGGTTAATCTTGCGTGGATGTTTGCTGCTGCACTTTGCTGCTAGCAGCAGCGCAGCAGCAGCAAGTCCATTAAATAAAAAAGGAGACAAAAAGGAGACACTACTAAGACAGCAAGTTAATGAATTTATATCACGTAAATAAAAGGGTACAACATGGGGCCCCTCCTGCTGCAGTACCCTATTGGGGGGCCCCCCAAAGGCAATACCTTGGGGGCCCCCCTCCTTTAGTCTCCTTATTAATTCATTACTTACATTACGCCAAACTAACACTGCAGCAGACATAAACCTTTCCTCCTCCCGCTGCGGCTGCGGCTGCTGCTGTTGCTGTTGTTGCTGGTGCTGCTGTTGCTGCTGCTGCTGGTGCTCGTGCTGCTGGTCTAGCTGCTCCTTGTGGTGGCGGTGCTGCTGCTGCTCTTGCTGCTGCTGCTGCTGCTGCTGCATCAGTTCGACTATCTGCTGCTGTGCTGCTGCACCCATCAGCTCAGCTGTCTCCTTTAGGTGTCTCCTTACTAACTGGTTAAATAGCTGCTGCTCTTGGGGGGCCCCCTGTCTCCTTAGCTGCTGCTGCAGTAGGGGCCCCCTTGCCTTTGTCTCTGCTGCTCGCTGCATCCCCAGACATAACCCTGCTAAGTCCCTTAAGGAGGCATCCGCTAAAAAGCTGCTGCTGCTGCTGCTGCTGCTGCTGCTGCTGCTGAGGAGCACCCTTGGGAGGGAGACAAAAAGGGCCTCAGGAAATTGCTGCTGCTGTGCGCATGCAAGCATAGCTGCAGCAATATCGCGGCAAGAAGGTGGGGGGCCCCTAGGGGGCCCCTTAGTGGCCCCCCTGTAAGTACCCATTTGCTGCTCCATAGGTGACACATCAGGAGAAGAAGTGTCTCCACAGTTGCTGCTGCTTCGTGCTGCTGCTGCGGCTGCTGCTGCTGCTGTGGGGTCCCCCATCTTGCTGCATGCATATTTGCTGCGTTGCAGCAGCTCAGCAGCAGCAGCAGCACAAAGAGAAGGAGACACATGATTAACAGCAGCAAAGGACCATAAGACATTAGCTATTTGCTGCGCAGATAACAAAAGGAGACACTTAGGTAAAAGGAGACACCTTGATGCAGCATCAAAGAGACACTTAAAGGGGCCCCCTTCTGTCTCCTTGGGGGCCCCCAAAGAGGGGCCCCCTAAAGAGGTAGGGGGGCCCCCCTCTTCTCCTATATGCATATCTACTGTCCCCTCCTTTAATAAAGACACAATACCACCCTGCTGTTGCTGCTGCTGCACCTGCTGCTGTTGCTGCTGCTGTTGTTGCTGCAGCTGGTGCTGCTGTAGGGCGCGTATATTATGTCTTTGTCTATGTATAAGAGCAGCAAGAGTTTGCTGCTGTGCTGCTGCTGCTGCAGGGTGCCTATACACCCCAATCTTAGCTATTGACCATACTAGGGTAGATTGTCCCCTTCCTTCGAAGGCCTCTTGCTGCTGCAGAAAGGAGACAGCAACAGCAGCAAGTGTCTCCTTTGCTGCTGCATGCAGCTGATGAAGAGATGCTGCAGCAAACTCCCGCTGCTGCTGCTGCTGCTGCTGCTGAGGGGGCAAGGAGACTATTAAGGAGACACCTGATCTATCCAATGCAGTGGCGAGGCCCCACGCAATGTTACAAATATCTACGGGCAGCAGCAGCTCCTGCTGCTGCTGTTGCTGCTGCTGGTGCTGCTGTTGCTGCTGCTGCAGCAGAGGTCTAAGGACTGGCTGCAGCACGGCAACTGCAGCAAGAGCCAAAGGGACATCGCATGCACCAAGGGCCCCAAGGGCCCATAATGTATTGGAGACTAGCTGCCGCGTGCTGCTGCTCCTGCTGCAGTTGCTGCTGCTGTTGTTGTTGCTGCTGCTGCTGCTGTTGGCCTCAGCAAGAGCTTGTAGGTGCTGCAGCAGTTTGCTGCGGAGAGAACAGAAGGTGGGGTTGTTGTACAAATGTTTTAAGAAAGGAGGTATGGATGGTGGCAGCAGCAGTTGCTGCTGCTGCTGCTGCTGCTGCTGCTGTTGCTGCTGCTGCTTGTGGTGGTGCTTCTGCGGGATCTGATGCACTAAATCAACAGCAGCAAAAGCAGCACAGGCATCTGCAGCAGCAGCAGCAGCTGCTGCTGCTGCTGCTGCTCCCTGCTGCCTATGGAGACGACCTAAGAGAAGAAGAGCTGTTGCTGCATGCACAGCATCAAGGGATTTAATGTGCTGCTGGGCGTACAACAGCAGCGCAGCAATACCCTTCCTGCTGCTGCTGCTGCTGCTGCTACCTAAAGGAGACCCCCCACGCGCCAGCAGCCCCGCCATCAGCTGCCGGGCATTGTGGGGCCCCCGTGGGGTTTTCAAGGGGGCCCCCCTTTCCTGCATGTTGGGGACAAAGGAGACTCCTTCTTTCTTAGCGCTGCTGCTGCTGCTGCTGCTGTACGTATTGCTGCTGGTGCTGCTGCTGCTACTGCTGTTTCCTGGAGAGGCGACTGCAACGAATGGCCTCGTGCTGCAGAAGGACGGACCCCATAGACACCCTGCAGCAGCAGCAGCAGCACTTGGTGCATGCAGTGTCTTTGCAGCAGCAAGGCGCACAACAGATAGGGAATTATAGGACAAGCAGCAGCAACAGCATCTGCTGCTGATGCTGCTGCTGCTGCATCTACAGGGTCGGTGTGTGGCATGCGCATCGTACTGTTGCATTTGCTGCTGCGGCTGCAGCTGTAGCAACAAATGCCGCATCTGCTGCTGCTGCTGCAGCTGCTGCTGCTGCAGCACGTGCTGCAGCACGTTGCTCCTTCCACACACCACTGACAACAGCGCAGCAGTACCACACTTTCTGGGGGCCCCTAGAGGGGTCCCCAGAGGCAGGGGCCTCCCACATCGGGGCCCCACAGCTGGGGGCCCCACGCTTGGGGGCCCCCCTAGGGTAATTGGGAGAGGCCCTCTGGTCTTGAGGGCGCCCCAAGAGAGCGGTGTACCCTCCAGCCCCATATGTGGAGCCCTGGAGGCCCCCTGGAAGGGGCGGGGGCCTCCTATATAGGGGCGCATCGGGGCCCCTGGGGCCCCCCGGAGAGCAGCAGGAGGAGTTACAGATGTACAAGAGGGTACATAAAGGGTTATTATTATTCCTTTAGTAATAATAAATCATAAATAAAATTATATATGAATAAAAATAATAGCCAAGGGACAACTGGGGGCCCCTTGGGGCCCCCTGGGGCCCCGAAGGTACCTCCAATGTGAGCGGTCTTCGGCCAGTAGGGGCCCCCGTAGGCAAGAGGGTACTGAAGGGGGCCCTACTTCAACAGCAGCAACTGTTAATTATATAAAATAAATTAAAACCTTTTTTTATTGTTTATATAAAGAAAACAACAAAAAGAAAAAGGAGACAGGAAAAAGGAGACACTCCTATGCATGCCCCCCTACCCCTGGTAACCAATGGTCTCCTCGGTACAAGACACTGCAGCGAGCAGCTGAGGGGGCCCCTACGGGGGCCCCCTAACAGGCCCCCATAAGGGGCCCTCATAAAGGATGCTTAAGCATTTGGATGGGGGCCCCGCAATGGCGGACCCCTCCAACATTAGTCCCTATGGCACCGTACAACGCCAGCACGAAGCAAAAACAAGCAAACAGGGAATAGGGGCCCCCGACTGGGGGGGCCCCCATTCTCTTGAAGGGGCCCCACAGAAGGGAGGGGCCCCCTCGGAAGGGGAGGCCCACAGTACAAAAGAAGCACAAAATAATACGAAGTTATTTCCTCATTGTGCCTATCTCTGCTCTCTTCTGCAGACCGCCTAAGAGCCCCTTCCTCAATACCTCGCCATCAGTACCCAGGTGACTGGGGGGCCCCCCATGGGGCCCCTGAGGGGCCCGTCTTGCATTGAATTAGTAGTCTCCATGTTTAAATTTTCTCCATACAATAGGGACACGAGGGAAAAATACTTTATTTTCTTGACAGTCTCCTTGTGTCTCCTTATCCTTTATGGGGCCCCCTATGGGGTCTTGGGGGCCCCCCAGAGGGTCCTGGGGGCCCCCTGAGGGGCCCTTATTTCTACCAAATAGAGCAGCAGTTAGGGTTACGAATTCTTGAGGGTTTAGGGCTTGGGGTCTGAGGGTTTGGTACTCCTCAGGGATACAAACACCAGGAGGTAATATTGGCTAAGGAAAAAGAAAAAGGAGACAGGAAAAGGAGACACAAGGAGGAGACAAGAAAAGGAGATAAAAAAGGAGACAGGGAAAGGGGGCAATAAGAGGAGACAGGGAAAAGAGAGAGAATAAGATATATTAAGAAAAGGGGGAGGAGAAACAGGAGACAAGAAAAGGAGAAAAGGAGACAATAAAAAAAAATATAAAATAATAAAATAAAAAAAAAGGAGACAAAAAAGGAGACAAAAAAGGAGACAATAAAGGAGACAAAAAAGGAGACAATAAAGGAGACAAAAAAGGAGACAAAAAAGGAGACAAAAAATGAGACAATAAAGGAGATAAAAAAGGAGACAAAAAAGGAGACAAAAAAGGAGACAAGAGGAGATAAGGAAGAGACAAACCTTTAAGCTGTGCCGTAGCATCTTCCTCCGCTGCCCAAAAGCAGCAAACAACACCTGCAGCAGCAGCAGCAGCAGCAGCAACAGCAGCAGCAACAGCAGCAGCAGCAGCAACAGCAGCAGCAGCAACATCAGCAGCAGCAATAGGAAGGGACATAAAGAGATAGTGTGAATTCTTGCAGCAGCAGCAGTAGCAACAGCAGCGCAGCACAAATAACCAAAACAGCAGCAACTGCAGCAGCAGCAGCAAACGCATCCCTCCTCACTCCATCACCACCAACAACAGCAGCAACAGCAGCAGCAGCAGCAGCAGCAGCAGCAGCAGCAGCAGCAGACCTTCTTTAGATCTCTTGCATTAACACCATCAAGAAGTTCTTCGTCACTCTCATGACGAAAGTCAACGCGAACAACACCAGACTCAACCTACACATAAACCCTAAACCCTAAACCCTAAACCCTAAACCCTAAACCCTAGAGACTAGGAAGGCGATAACCTCCCTATGGCCCCGTCTAAAGGAGGGTCTGGGGACGTAACCTGCCTAAGGGTTTGCGACAATTGTAAGGGTTTAGGGTTTATGAGGGTTTATAAGGGTTTATAAGGGTTTACGAGGGTTTTATGAGGGTTTAGGGTTTATTAAGGGTTTAGGGTTTAGGGTTTATATATAATACCTTAGGTTGAGGATAAAATGCATGAGAAGGAATAGAGAATAAGAAGGAGGGTTTAGCAAGAAGAGAGAAAGCAACACTAAGACGACAATAACAACTGTCTCCTTTTTTTGCTACTAAACGCTGAATAAAAAAGAGACAAAAAAAAAAGAGACAAAAAAGGAGACAATAAAAGGAGACAATAAAAGGAGACAGTAAAAGGAGACAAAAAAGGAGACAAAAAAAAAGAGACAAAAAAGGGAGACAAAAAGGAGACAAAAAGGAGACAAAAAGGAGACAAAAAAAGGAGACACAAAAAGGAGACACAAAAAGGAGACAAAAAAGGAGACAAAAAAGGAGACAAAAAAAGGAGACAAAAAAAGGAGAAAAAAAAAGGGTTTATGTTACTTGTGCAACTTCCTTCTGTAACGTCACGACAGCCAAGTCAATAAATTGACGACAATCCAATAAACAGAAGAGGAGCTGAAGCAAACCCTAAACCCTAAACCCTAAACCCTAAACCCTAGAATGTAAACCCTAAACCCTAAAATGTAAACCCTAGAGGGGAAGTGGCAAAGGACGCGAGTTCGTTGAAAACCCTAGCAGACAAGATAGTCTGATGATCAATGACGTCAATAAACAGGAAATAGGGTTTAGGGTTTAGGGTTTAGGGTTTGGAGATTAGGGTTTAGGGTTTGGGGAGAATACCTGACTGGTGAGGTAAAAAGGAAGATTGCCAACAATTCGCAGTCTCTTCATGTGGTGACCAAGATAAGGCCAATTCACCTGCACCCCAAACCCTAAACCCTAAACCCTAAACCCTAATCTCCAAACCCTAAACCCTAGTCCCAGATGCAAACCATAAACCCTAAACCCTAAACCCTAATTGAGACCTCCCTCAGTTCGCAATTTCAAAACTCGCACATCAACTCCTCCAACGCAACGACCCCTAAGCTGCACCTTCAAACCCTAAACCCTAAACCCTAAACCCTAAACCCTAATTACCTGTAAGACGTCCTCATGTAGCATCTGTAGGCCGGGGAATCTTTGACTAAGAAGAGCGATTGCCCTTGGATCTATTTCTACTGCTGAGGAGACAAAAAGGAGACAAAAAAAAGTGTCTCCTTTTTTGTCTCCTTTTATAGAAAAAAAAAGTGTCTCCTTTTTTTCTCTCTTTTTTATTAAGAAAAAAGGAGACACTTTATTATACAAGAAGAAAAGGAGACACTTTCTTATTAAGAAAAAAAAAAAAAAAAAAAAAAAAAAAAAG